CTTCTTAATAATCTGCATATCCCACTCAGGGCTTCTCAGAAGCTTCTAACTAGCTATTCTAGTAAATAAATATTTTGGAGAGAAACAACCTGACATAGTTGTTTTTGTAATACAACTGTTTAAATTATCATTTACATTTGCTAAATAAAAAATCTGGGCTAGAAACCTGAGGGGAAAATACAGATTATTAAGAAGAATTAAAGATATTAACAAATATACTGTTATCCACTGAAGGAGGGAATCTTTTTGTATTAATATGTTATTCAAAAAAGAAGGAATAAATTCTAAGCAGCTACAGTGTAAAGGTATGTGGAAATTACCTTAGGAGACAGGAGAAAGGCCTTATCTGACATCAGATAAGACGCAGCTAGGTTGGAAGCAGGAATGGGGGCATGGAAAATGCCTCAGAAAGGAACCTCCCTAATTTCTTGGATTGTAAAAGTGAGCCAGGAAAGACCCCTGCAGACTTGCAAGTTTCTGTTAATGTAACCTTACAAAAAAGATTGAGTGAGTTTTCCTGGATATGCCTCTTGCTTGGGCTGGTCCACAAAGCTGACATATTGTTAAGAATGATTAAGCTCATGCCCAAATTACTATGTTGATTGCTTATTTGCCTTCAATATTCCCTTTGGGAATAAGGCGGCATACAAGTCGAATAAATCCAAATATCTCCATTATCAGATTTTTTTTCCCCTCAGATAATGTATTAGCAAAGGAAAGAAGGTATATAAATCATTGAAAAATGTATTTCTTTGAGTTGGAATGACAAGCAATATTCCTTTGGTAAACCATAAGTTAACATCTTAACAAAACAGACCAGTAGATGGCTCTATTGCCTCCAAGAGCTCTATTGCATTACTTTTATCACAGCACTGAAAATATATTCTACCAATGTCCCCTTAACAAGATTAATATGCAATTTTGTTTTCACTTGGTGCAAACTGTGGGATAATCATCTTTAATAAGAAGGCTAGGGGGTTTTCCATGATAAACAAATTCAATCCTTTATTATAGTCTCAAATCTAGTTTGTTATTACACAATTTCAAAAGTCCTGCATCTATCAGTTTCGCAACTGAAATCTAAGAATAATTGTTATTAATATTTGGGTCTCTTTTGTTTCAGCTGATTAGGTCTAACAGTTATTTGCTCATTCTAGCAGAAATTTAAAGTCAGAAACCATTCCAAGAACTCTAGAAGTACTTACTAAGCATGTTTTAAACATGCTAATTTAAAATAAATGCAAAGATGAGGTCTTTTTCTCTACACTGAATTTCCCCTTTTTTTTCATAGAACATACCGGTATTTTTTGCTGAGATCAATCCAATAATCAAACAAGACATCGTGCAGAACTTCCTATTTTAAACAATTCTAAAATTTACAGTACAGTAAAGTCACAGGAGAAGTTATGCTCAGAGCGTGGCAGGGGCGGAACGGGCGCTCGCGCAATCCCCCTCTCGATCTGGTCAGTAAATGGCACTCTGCCCAGCTGGAGAAGGGGTTTTCCGGGCAGTTGCTCGTGAGCATGGTCACCTCATGGCTGCTTCACCCCTGAAGCTGTGCCCGGCTCTTCAGGAGCCAGTTTGCAAGGGAGCAGCTGCCCAGAAACCCAAAACAATAAGCCCTCCCCCTATAATAAGCCCAAGGCCATATTTTGTGGGGCAAAAGAAAACAAGACCCTGTCTTATTTTCAGGGAAACACTGTATATAATATCGCCAAACAAAATTAGCATGTGCCAGTTTGAGGATAGCGACCACATAAAATGCCCTTTATCTCTTCATATTACACAGATCCAACTACCGTAGTTAGTCTTGTATCAGCAAGAATGGAAAAATGTTCATACTGCTGTCTTCCAAGGGGAAAGGGGAAATGGAAAAGATAAAATGTGAGCCGATATTGAAGAAACATCTCCAGATGAACAAGTTTTCCCTAGCTTTAAATATAGGCTTCTTAGATTAATAAAATAATAATTTTGAGTTGTTGAAAGAAACGTATTTGGCAAGTTAGGAGACAGCTACATTGGGAAAATTAAAGTCAAGCACATGCTAGTTTTTAGATTTCTGAATGATACACATTATTCAATTTCCAAACTGATAAATAGAAAACATGTATATCAGTATACCCTAAATTATTGAACAGAACTTTGCTTGGATGCTCACAGAGCAAAGAGTGATATAAACAATTACCATAGGTTTTTAATTCCAGGAGAATCATATAGGACTGATGAAAGTATTGATTGTTATGAAGATTATGTACAAAAATAAGAAGTTTGTGTGTCATGCTTCTAGATGTTTGTTTTTTCATTACTTTTAATCTACTATCTTAATAACAGTATTTAACACTCTAGTCTGAACTTTGGTTACATTCATCTATATGGAAGAGTGAATTGGAAACATATTTACTGTACACATTAATTTT